ATGAAATTAAAATAAGATAAAATATAAAACAATAAAATAAAATAAAATGGTGGTCTTAAATCACGCAAGAGAGTCTGAGTCGAATGAAGGTGAATCTACGAGTCACACTATAATGTTGCAGGATCCAATTTGGATCAATCACCAAGATCTGGTTTAGTCTTCCGAGCTTCTGGATTCCTGCTGGCGCCCATCCTTGGGGATCCCCTCTCTCCAGCATGTGTCCTTTGAGCTATTCTATGCGTAGTATTTATGAGGTGCCTGATGGGCTTTGTTGTTGATTGGGGTGTTGATGGCTGGCTGTTAAGTCGTTGGCTGTTGTTTCCTTGTGCTGCCAAGTCCTTGGCTCCTAAGTACACGATACGCTACCAGTAGTAGTAAATCAGCCCTCCACCTGACCGACAAGGGGTCCATTTCCCAGGCTTCCATCACTTCCCTGGCTGTTTTTGTACCTGCTCAGCCAACAATCTTAGTAGCTGCAGAATGGAATGTATGTCCTTCCTTATTGCAATGTGAGGATGGTCCCCGGTGACCAACCCAGACTGGATCCTGCATGAGTCTTCCCGCTTGCCCCTCCACCCTATAGCCATCCAGGGCTGGCTGCCCCCAGACCCAAAAGGACAGCCAAGGCCCGCCGTTTCCGAGGCGTGCAACTTTCTCCCTTCGCTTCCCGATCACAAAGGAAGTTCACTTCTCCAAAAAGCAAATCTCTTTTATTTTTAAAGATAACACCTTTATTATGCATTTATTATAGATAGATAATAATTTATTTATAGTAATAATAATAATAATAATAATAATATTTGTTATGCGGGGATGACCAGTTCCCCCATCCAAGTAATGGAGCAGAGTTTTGCTGTTTCAAATGTTAAATGGGAGTCCCGGATGGAATCTATATTCAATGAAGCTCTCCTGCATCCACGCTCAGTTGAATATACATTCCTTCACCTGTGTTTGTGGGTGTGCCTGGGTGTGTGTGCGAGAGTGTGTGTGTGTGTGTACGTGTGTTTGTGTACGCTGGACTCTGTCCCAGAGCAGGAGGCACGGACGCCTCGTCCTGCGCGGAGGGAAGTCGCCCGTGGATCTCGGCTCCAGCCTCGCTGGGGTGGGGGGGCCTGGCGAGCGGGCGGGTGGCGGTGGGCAAGTGGCAAGGAGAGGTCGCCCGCGAGGAAGAAGAGGAGGAGGAGGAGGGTGGTGGGCACTTGGTCAGGCTATGTGGAGTCCTGGTTGACCACTTTGCCTCCGTTCATGGTGGGCGTCCCCGAACTCTTCCGAGAACGTCCTTGCTTCTCTCCGATCTCATGCAGGGAAGGCTCTCTGTACATGCACACTGCGGGCGGGAGAGAGAGAGAGAGAGGTCAAGGCATGGCACCCACCACCACCCCCCACGTACCTGCAAAACCCACCTGGCACCCTGGCTCAGCAGCCCCCTCCCTGTCCCACCAGGACGAGCCCAAGATTTCCATGGCTAAGCAAGACAGCGGTTGAGTGATTTGCCCCCATTTTATGACCTTCCTTGGAACAGGGGTTGAGTCAATCGCTGCAGCGGTTAAGTTAGGAACACGGAGGTGAAGTCAATCGGGTTTCCCCGCTGACTTTAACAGAATAACAAGAGTTGGAAGGGGCCTTGGAGGTCTTCTAGTCCATCCCCCCTGCGCAAGGCAAGAGACTCTACACTGTTTCATACAAATGGCCATGCAGTCTCTCCTTGAAAAGCTCCACTCATGGAACACACCCACAACTTCTGAAGGCAGGTTGTTCCCCTGATTAACAGAATAACCGAGTTGGAAGGGACCTTGGAGGTCTTCTAGTCCATCCCCCCTGCTCAAGCAGGAGACCCTGTACCTTCCCGGTCAAATGGCTGTCCAGTTAAGTTAGGAACACGGTGGTGAAGTCAATCGGGCTTCCCCGCTGACTTTAAAAGAATAACAATGTTGGAAGGGACCTTGGAGGTCTTCTAGTCCATCCCCCTTGCTCAAGGCAGAAGACTCCGTCCCATTTCAGACAAGTGGCTGTCCAGTCTCTTCTTGAGAACCTCCAGGAATGGAGCACCCACAACCTCTGGAGACAAGTTGTTGCACTGGTTAATTGTCAAGACTTGGGTTGTCCGAAGGTCGCCAAAGGGGATCACGTGACCCAGGGCAACCGTGATAAATATGAGCCCAGCATTCGAATTTTGATCACACAACCATTGAAGTCCACAGGTCTTAAAGTTGTCAGGTTTGGAGACTGCAGCTCTAGAGGGAAGATCCTTCAGCCTTGGTCGTCGGAGTTGGACAATCAGTAAATGCCCAATTTAGCTGTTTGTTTCTCTCCTTTTATACCAGGCACCATGCTTTATGACCGGGACTTAATTTCCTGACAGCTTATCGATTCTAAGGCCCCCGTTATTTCATTTTCAGTTTAAGAGATTAAAAAAGACCCAGTTTTCTCTACGCTATTTTTCCAGTCATCCTGAGAGTCATTTGGGCTGGAAGAGGGGTCTGGAGACTGCATTTATCAAAATTGGGGATCAGCCCCTCCCTCCAAGTACCATCTGGTTAATCTGGGTATTGGATTAACCCGTTCCCTAGTTATGCACGGAACTGTAAATTGCCCAGAGCTTCTTGGATTATAAAGGACTGGCCGTTCGTCCTTGGCTTGACCTCCCAGACCAGGGGTAGGCAACCTGGGCTCTTTTACGACTCGTGGACTTCAACTCCCAGAATTCCTGAGCCAGCCATGCTGAGGGGAAAGGGAGAGGTTTCCAAGCTGAGCCAGGCTGGCTCAGGAATGCTGGGAGTTGAAGTCCACGAGTCGTAAAAGAGCCAAGGATGCCCACCCCTGCCCTAGGCCTAGGCCGCTTTATGACTCGTGGACTTCAACTCCCAGAATTCCTGAGCCAGCCATGCTGAGGGGAAAGGGAGAGGTTTCCAAGCTGAGCCAGGCTGGCTCAGGAATGCTGGGAGTTGAAGTCCACGAGTCGTAAAAGAGCCAAGGCTGCCTACCCCTGTCCCAGACCAATCTGATCGTCTGCAAATTTTCCCCATGTGGCTGTAGGAACCAGGCATTGGCGACTGCAAAAGCAAGTTGGTCTCTTTATCTAAGGAGATTCTCCGTCCTCCAGGTCCTGGTTGTCCTGGTTGTTAGGAGGCAACTGGACTTTCTCCTTTGAGGACGTTTCGCTTCCCATCCCAGAAGCTTCTTCAGCTCTAGACTGGAGGGTGGGGAAGGGAAGGATTTATACTCCTCACAGACAGCTGGTCATTTGCCTCCTTTTAGAGAGTCATGGAGGCCACTTGGAGGCTTACCTGTGTCCTCAGGGTCACCTGAGCGGTGCAAATGGAGCCTTCTTGAGACTGCTGAAAGGACTGTGTGGTAGACTGGAGATGGACGGTGTCGTATCCCTCCCCCCATTGAGAGAGGGCCATTCAATTTTGACCTAGATGGCCTCTTTGACCCCCTCTTTCAAACCCGCGGTCCTCCCTGTCCAAAATGTGGACTTGGCCGTCTTCGAAAAAAGAACGGCCTTGGTCTTTCAAAGGCAGATGGATGGCTGACTCTTGTCCTGATGGGTTTGTTCTCCTGTGTTGTGCCAGGCGTTTGTGAAGAGGCTGTTGGGGAAACACTGGGGAAACACCGGAGAAACATTGGGGAAACATTGGGGAAACACCGGGGAAACATTGGGAAAACACTGGGGAAACATTGGGGAAACACTGGGAAACATTCAGGAAACACCGGGGAAACATTGGGGAAACACCAGGGAAACATTGGGGAAACACCGGGGAAACATTGGGGAAACACCAGGGAAACATTGGGGAAACACTGGGGAAACACCGGGGAAACATGAGAAAACATTGGGGAAACACTGGGGAAACATTGGGGAAACATTGGGGAAACACCGGGGAACACCAGGGAAACATTGGGGAAACACCGGGGAAACATTGGGAAAACACCGGGGAAACATTGGGGAAACACGGGAAAACATTGGGGAAACACCGGGGAAAACACCAGGGAAAACATTGGGGAAACACCGGGGAAACATTGGGGAAACACCGGAAAACATTGGGGAAACATTGGGGAAACACCGGGGAAACACCAGGGAAACACCGGGGAAACACCGGGGAAAACACCGGGGAAAACACCAGGGAAAACATTGGGGAAACACTGGGGAAACACGGGGAAACATTGGGGAAACACGGGAAAACACCGGGGAAACATTGGGAAAACACCGGGGAAACACTGGGGAAACATTGGGGAAACACCGGGGAAACACTGGGGAAACACGGGAAAACATTGGGGAAACACTGGGGAAACACGGGGAAACATTGGAAAAACATTGGGGAAACACTGGGGAAACAAAACAGCCACTTCATGAATGCCTGGCACATCATAGAACAAAGGCCTTAAATCCAACAGGAAAGGCCCCCCCAGTCAACCCAACGGTCACTTGGGACCTCGGAAACTAACCAGCATCCAGCATATTTGCCTTTGCGGATTTGCCGTGCACACAGGACTTCATCTTAGGGTTTTTGTCCTGAGAAAGGAGCAGGGTGCAAAAAACTGAGGCTGATGCCTTCCTGTCACGCTGAATTTCGGCTGATATTGTAGAAAACGGCAGAAGTCGTTTTCCTGATCGCTACCTCCCACTGAGATTTTTATTTTTTTTTAATTTTTACTTCTTAATCCGCCCTACGTTTTGGGATCTCCTAGTGGTCTCCCATCCAAAGACTTAGATTTCGTCGCTGGAGGATTTAACCCCACCCACGGTGAATCCAGAAAGACTGAGGCTTCTCCTTCCAACTAGCGAACCAGCCCCTCGGATGCAGACGTGTTTATGGTCTGGTTCCTTTACTCGGTTCTGGGCCTTCCCTTTGAGCGACAGCTGTCGGTGCACGTCTGCAGGATCAGAACCCCCCCCCCCGCATCGCAAACCGGGTTCCAAAAAAACCAGCAACCACAAACACAACCCAAGATGCTAGTAAATGTCCCTTCTTCCTTGGTTCATCTCTACTGTGGTTATTCTTCTTTTTCTTTTGCTCTGCTTAATCTGAGTTTCTCGGATGCAAAAGTACACAGCAAGACTGACAGCCGCGCAGCGCCTCGTGGGCGTCTTCACCCCCATCCAGGCTCAACCCCCCCCCCCAAAAAAAAATCAGGTGGGAAAGAAGAATCTCAGCTGCAGAAAGGCCAGGGAGGGAGAGATGGCATTTGCGTAGAACTTTAGCTGGCTCGAGTCAGTGAGACCGGCTGCGTCTGACCAAGAAAAGCGAAAGGCACCCCTCGGTCCGACTTCCCCGCCTCTCTCCCCCCAGCCAGGGCTCCACGAAGGAGCTTCCCCACATACCTTCTATGGGTTTGGGTACAAAATGTGAGGAAGGCTTGGTCTTTTTCACCCGGTTGCCCTTCATAATCTGTCCTTCTTTATTGAGTCCCAAGAACCAGGCTCTCCCCGATTCCTGCTGCCGGTACAGCGTGGAGGAATAGATCACGTAGTAGTTTTCGAAGACGGACTCCTTGAATTTGCACTCGGGTGTAAAGATGTCCTGGGGAATAAAGCAGAGGAGAAAGGAGGGAGAGAGATGAACGCACTCGCTCGTCAGCCATGGACTCATCCCGGCCTGCTGGACCGCGATCCGCAGGGGTGGAAAATAACCTGAGAGAGAGACCCCTTTGGAGAGGATTTGAGGAGGATGGGCTTCGGGGTCCCCAGGAGAGCAGGAGAAGGTCGCCTGGGAAAGAGAGACCCATCAGCAGCACCCAGCCGAGTCTTGCCAAGGTGCCACCGAGAAGCAGCAATCTGCCCTGGCACACACAACTCCGGGCGCCCCATTCCCAGAGTCAGAACTGAAGGGCTCTCTGGCTGTTTTCTTGCAGACGTTTCATTACCCAACTAGGTAACATCATCAGTGCTAGAAGGGAGAGGGGTTTGCAGAGTGGAGGAAGGAGAAAAGGAGGAGGAGGAGGAGGAGGAGGAGGAGGAGGAGAACTGTGAGGTCCCTGGTGCTCTCTGGGCTTGGCTGTTTTCTTGCAGACGTTTCATGACCCAACTAGGTAACATCATCAATGCATCTAACATCGTCATCGGCACTGATGATGTTACCTAGATGGATCATGAAAGGTCTGCAGGAAGACCAACAAGCGCAGAGAGNACCCATCAGCAGCACCCAGCCGAGTCTTGCCAAGGTGCCACCGAGAAGCAGCAATCTGCCCTGGCACACACAACTCCGGGCGCCCCATTCCCAGAGTCAGAACTGAAGGGCTCTCTGGCTGTTTTCTTGCAGACGTTTCATTACCCAACTAGGTAACATCATCAGTGCTAGAAGGGAGAGGGGTTTGCAGAGTGGAGGAGGAGGAGGAGGAGGAGGAGGAGGAGGAGGAGGAGGAGGAGGAGGAGGAGGAGGAGGAGGAGGAGGAGGAGGAGGAGAACTGTGAGGTCCCTGGTGCTCTCTGGGCTTGGCTGTTTTCTTGCAGACGTTTCATGACCCAACTAGGTAACATCATCAATGCATCTAACATCGTCATCGGCACTGATGATGTTACCTAGATGGATCATGAAAGGTCTGCAGGAAGACCAACAAGCGCAGAGAGCACCAAGGACCCCACAGACGTTCTCTTTCCCTCCTCCTCCTCCCCACAAACCCCCCCTCTCCCTTCTGATGATGCTCCTTAGTTGGGTCATGAAACATCTGCAAGGAAACATCCAAGCTCACAGAGCACCAAGGCCCCCACAATTCTCCTCCTCCTCCTCCTCCTCTCTGCATTCCCCCCACTTCTAGCACTGATGATGTTCTCTACTTGGGTCATGAAACATCTGCAAGAAAACCACCCAGTTCAGAGAGCACCAAGGACCCCACAGTTCTCCTCCTCCTCCTCCTCCTCCCCACACACCCTCTTCTAGCACTGATGAAGTTACCTAATTGGGTCATGAAACATCTGCAAAAGAAGCACCAAGCTCAGAGACACCAAGGACCCCACGGACTTTTTCCTCCTCCTCCTCCTCCTTCTCCTGTTCCTGTTCCTCATCCTCTTGTTCCTCCTCCTCCTTTCCTCCTCTTCCCCTCCACACACCCCCTCCCTTCTACTCCTGAAGATGTTCCCTAGTTGGGTCATGAAATGTCTGCAAGAAAGCCACCCAGCTCAGAAAGTATCAAGGACCCCACAGTCCTTTCCTCCTCCTCCTCCTCCTCCTCCCCACACACCCTCTTCTAGCACTGATGAAGTTACCTAGTTGGGTCACAAAATGTCTGCAAGAAAACCACCCAGCTCAGAGAGCACCAAGGATCCCACAGTCCTTCTCCTCCTCCTCCTCTTCCTCCTCTTCACAAATCCCCCTCCCTTCTAGCACTGATGATGTTGCCTAGTTTGGGTCATGAAACATCTGCAAGAAAACCACCCAGCTCAGAGAGCACCCAGGACCCCACAGTCCCTCCTCCTCCTCCTGCTCCCCCTCTCCGCAAACTCCACTCCCTTCTAGTACTGATGATGCTCCCTAGTTGGGTCATGAAATGTCTGCAAGGAAACCACCCAGCTCAGAGATTATCAAGGACCCCACAGTCCTCTTCCTCCTCCTCTTCCTCCTCCTCCTCCCCAAACACCCTCTTCTAGCACTGATGAAGTTACCTAGTTGGGTCACAAAACGTCTGCAAGAAAGCCACCCAGCTCAGAGAGCACCCACAGTCCTTCCTTCCTTCCTTCCTTCCTTCCTTCCTTCCTTCCTTCCTCCTCCTCCCCACACACTCTCTTCTAGCACTGATGAAGTTACCTAGTTGGGTCACAAAACGTCTGCAAGAAAGCCACCCAGCTCAGAGAGCAACCAGGACCCTTCTTTTCAACCCGCAGCTACAAAGACCCTCCTTTACTGACCGCAACGAAGGCGAAGGCCCCGTTCCCGAGGAAGGCTGGGGGTCAGCTGAGACCCATCTGCCTTCCCTTCTCCCAGCCACCGTGCAGGGAGAGGATGCCTGTTTCCCACAGGCCTCCCAGCCCCTGCCTTCCCAGAGCACGCGCAAAGGCCACGTGTCTCTGAGTGTATGTCTGCACACGCCTGTGAAACGGTTGCAAACCGGACAGCGTGTCCTGCAATGCAGCCAGGGATGAGATGGCCGAGGGGCAGAAGTCGGGCCCTGCCCATCCTGACCAGGCCGGCTTGGGGTCCTCTGGCCACCAAGGGCCTGGCGTGGCCTGCCCGGGGGTGGCTCCCACCCTTTGGGGGAACCCCCGTCCCTGTCCTGTTGAAAAGCCGCAAACACAGCACTTTCCTGCTTCTGAGCAGGATTATAATAATAATAATGATAAAGTTGGAAGGGACCTTGGAGGTCATCTAGTCCAACCCCCTGCTCAGGCAGGAAACCCTATACCATTTCGGACAAATGGCTGTCCAGCCTCTTCTTAAAAACTTCCAGTGTTGGAGCATTAACCGCTTCTGGAGGCAGGTGGTTCCACTGGTTAATTGTTCTAATTGTCAGGAAGTTTCTCCTTAGTTCTAGGTTCTAGGATTGAATCTTTCTTTCTTTTTTTTTTTTAAGAAAATGTTATTGATTTTCTAGTTTTACATTTGAATATTTGAAAAGCAACGTGGCGGCTGAGTTGGTCCATAATTCAATAACATACAAGTACAGATCTCAAACGATTACATTAGATGTTTCCTCTCTTTTTCCCTTGGTATTTACTGTCTCATATTCAAACTAATACAATTCTTATTATATCGATTAAATAAAAACAACTTTCCTACGTTTATCAATAATTTTTAGTTTATGCCTATCCTAGTCGTTTTAACATTCAATCTTTTTAGACGATCAATGTCCTGATTAGTTTTTCCCAATTTTTAGTTTCCCGTTAATGTTTACATTTAACGTTTAATATTTATAATTTCCAAGTTTTAAATAACCCCAATTCCCTTTATCACAATTCATCACAAAATCTAATGTTCAGGATAAAACGTCTTATCTATTTGAATTCTCACCCTCTTACATCAACTAATTAATAATACAATATAACGTTCTTATTCTCTGGTAATTTCCAAATATTTTAAATTTAGTAACCAAAATTTCTCTTATTTCCACCTTTGATACTTTCTCTCTTTTTCTCTTAATATCTACTTATCTCATATCTAACTAGTAGTTTTTATTATTGCCGCTAAGTAAAAACATATTTGTTACATTCATCAATAGATTTTTAGCTTATATATATATATATCTTAATTGCTTTTACATTTAACCTTTATAAACAAATCAATGTTCAAATTTAATATTTATACGTGGCACTTTCCTGCTTCTGAGCAGGACTGAATCTTTCTCGGGGTCCCCCAGGAAGGTGCAATTACAAGGGGTCCTCGATTTACAGCCATTCCTTTAGTGACGGTTTGTAGTCACCAAAATGTTACTCGTGGCTGTTTTTCACACTTGCAAGCACTGCAGTCTCCCCAGGGCTGCAGGATCGAAATCTGGACGCTTGGCAACTGGCATGGACCTCTTGACGGTTGCAGTGTGCTGGGATCCGCTTCTGCAGCCTCCTGAGAAGCAAAGTTGATGGGAGGGGGGGGAACCGGAGTCACTTAACAAGGGGGCCACTAATTTAACAATTGCGGCGACTCACTTAACAGTTCTGGCAAGGAAGATGACAGAATGGGACAAAAGGCACTTTACCGCTGTCTTGTTTTGCAATGGAAATTTGTGACTCCATTGCGGTCGTAATTTGAGGACTCCCTGTCTCAAGAAAAGGAGAAATAGGGGAGACGTGATAGCAGCCTTCCAGTATCTGAGGGGCTGCCCCAAAGAAGAGGGGGTCACGTTATTCTCCAAAGCACCAGAGGGCAGGATGAGAAGCAATGATTGGAAACTAATCAAAGAGAGAAGAAGCAACCTGGAACTTAGGAGAAATTTCCTAACAGTGAGGACAATTAACCAGTGGAACAGCTTGCCACCAGAAATTGTGGGTGTTCCATCACTGGAGATTTTTAAGAAGAGGCTAGACAGTCACTTGTCTGAGATGGTGTAGGTTCTCCTGCTTAAGCGGGGGGGGGGGGGCTGGATTAGAAGACCTCCAAGGTCCATTCTATTCTATTCTATTCTATTCTATTCTATTCTATTCTATTCTATTCTATTCTATTCTATTCTATTCTATTCTATTTTGGTGGGAACTAACGAAGGAGAGAAGCAACCTAGAACTAAGGAGAAACATCCTGACCGTGAGAACAATTAACCAGTGGAACTACCTGCCTCCAGAAGCGCTGAATGCGCCAACACTGGAAGTTTTTAAGAAGAGACTGGACAGCCATTGGTCCGAAATGGTATAGGGCAGTGATGGTGAACCTTTTAGAGACCGAGTGCCCAAACTGCAACCTAAAACCCATTTATGCATCGTCGGGTGCCGGGTGGGTCTGCCCCATTGGGTGGGTGTGGCCAATTGGGTGGGTGTGGCCCATTGGGTGGGCGTGGCTGCAGTGGTAACGGCAGACTGGGTGGGACTAAAAAGTTCAATCAATCAATTCCAACTTTGCAAGATCTTTTTTTTTCCCACTAGAAGTTGAAATTGATTGATTGAA